CAGAAGTAGCATGGAGGAGGGAGGAGAAGGGAACAGGGGAAGGGGGAATCGGGGCATCCTGAGGCTGCGGGGCGGGGGCGGTAGTGGGGGGGAGGGGAGACGCGCACAATGGAGGGTAAGTGGTGGGGCAGGCATTGGGGGGCAAGCTGTCTGCTTCTCTTACTGCATGCTCCACCACCTACAAACTGCCTGCCCCTACCACCTGCTCCCCCTGCCTGCCCTACCACATGCCCCCCCCATACCTTCTCCACTATCTGTCCCCCACTACCTTTCTCATTACTGCCCACCTCATCACCTCTCCCCCAACCACCTGCAGTAGTGGAAGGGAAAGTGGGGGACGGACACATTTAAGATTATCTTCCAATAATTAGATTTCATACATGGAAACTGTTAATACATTTTTTTGTGTGTAGGTCTAATTATTGGGGTATTGGCTTACATTCAGGGTCATCAAACAGATATGGTAGTTCAATATAACTTGACTTGTGTGCTATTACTAGTGCTTATTCGGCACTATCATAATGATTAAAGGTAAGAAAATGCCCAGGTATAACTATTAGATGTATTTAGCTATTAGCTGAACTGATCTGGATCATTTGGCTGCTGAGAATAGCTGTAAAAGATAAGAACTAAACCAATTGTCAGACTTATTAGGTCTTCTTTTGAGCTAACAGAGATTAATTTCTTGTAAAAAATTAATTCAATGACATATTGCCATCTCCACTTGCTAAAATGGAACTGAAAATGAAAAATAATATTAACTGTGATATCTTGGCTAGGGGAATATTTAGGGCTTAGAAACACTTTGTTGGGTTTCTTGGTCTTTTGGTTTTCGTTGGACAATTTTCATACTGATTTCTGTTCCTTAAGAAAGAACTTTAATTAATATTTAATTTACTAGTTTTATGACAATATTACTGAAGAAGTAAAAAATACAAAGGGAAGAAAGGAACAAAAATACATGTTGTAGGCTAAACAGATTATATATGGCTTTTGTTGGGCTAGCTGTATGATTATTGTTTTGAAAGGTACCAGCCAGCGTTAGATAACCCAGAAGCTTGTTCGCAGTTGCATTCAAGTTGTGGTTTGAGAAAAACAACCACAACTTTTAAAATTAAAGTGCTAAGTATACTAATACCAAGATCTGAATTTCTTTTTCTCTATGAATGTGTTCCACCTATCAAACAAGAACTATGTTCTAATTTGTAAAAGCTGTAATGCCAAGTGTGAAGTCACTTGCGTGTGTTTTGAAGCTTTCTGTTTTACCTACCCAACTAGTTGGGTTTCACCCCTGAATTCCGTTTTTCTCCAAGGGAGCTTCTTACTGTATAAGGAATGTAAACAGTTTTCAATCTCTTAATAGCACATTAGTAATATCATGAAAGTACTTTGGTATCCCCTAACAGTGTAAAGGACTGATTTTAATGAAGACAGTGTAATGGAGGACAAAACATATGTACAGAAGTGGGCCAGGAATACACTAGTAGTAGAAGTGCGTCCGTTGTGAACTGCTCAAACACCCAGGCCTTCTATTCTGTGCATTGCATACAAGGGATGTGGAGCCAGCCCCCGGGAAGATGCTTTCTCTGCTGTAACAGCCTCTCAGTTTTAAACTGTACAAATAGATTACACTGATTTTGCCTCGTTTTCAACAGTAGTAGTCTGCTCTGTGTGCAGTGATCAAGAGCTAAGGGGACATAAGGTATTAACGGCACAGAATGTATTGTAGGAAGCAGGACTTGAGCAACTTTTGTTGTAAGTACTGCATATAGGAATACAGAACATACACCTATAACCATGTGATCACCTGACTTCCTTATTGCATACGCAGTCAGGAGCAGCATGAGTAGCACAGAGAAGGGTTGCTGCATTATGGATGGAGCAAACAACCCACCTTCCACACGAGAATACACAGTGTGCACAAAAAATACGCTACTATCTGAGTCCTGCTGCCAGAGTAGAATGCAAGAGTGAATGCACCAAATTTAGTCAATCTGCCTGTCAGATGGACTTAAGCTTTGATGTGGTACACATGTCTAATATGCTAACATAAACCTTTCTAAAACCATCTGCCAGTCCTTGGGGTCAAAAGTTTCTTCCATCTTCTCTGTCTGCAAGCTGGCATGCAGTTCTCACTCCAAGGGACTGTCACTGCAAGTCTGACCCATATCTAGCTGTGCTGTATTTTTCTTTCATTACTTCTGGATGTTTTTTATTTAAAATGGCTGCTAAATACTTTATTGATGCTGAGCAGTCTTGCTAGCTCTTCTTTATCTCCCTAAGATGGCAGAAAGTACCCCTTATCTTCACAGGGTGCTCTCCCACCTTGCTGCTGGAGACTGATTTTTACTGTCTGGGTTTGAGTCTGCTTTCACTTATGCTAGTATAAATCAGGTATAGCTATTTTGGAGAGGAGTCAAAATGGCTCAGGGATAGCCTGGAGCAAATCGGTTGGTTTTCCCCTGTGGGATGGATGGAGGAAGTATGCTCCTTATAACCTGCAATCCCTCCAGCACCATTGACACTAGCATTGCATTGATGTAATGAACACAAAAGCTGCTTACAGATTCCCCCCCCTCCCCAACTGCACTTTACCGGAAGAAGCAGCATGTTAGCTTGACTTGGCTCTGCAGCATCTGTATAGATTGGGAACTTCAGCAGGGCTTTTTGGTGCTTTTATCTAATAGCTGATTCAATCAACTATTAGATAGAAGTGCCGAAAAAGCCCCACTAAAGCATCTGATCTATACAGATGCTGGGTGAGCCAGTTCCAGCTAATGTGCTGCCTCTTTTGGGCATTCATTGGGCTTGGTGCAGGAACATGTGGAATTTAAAGTAAAGCGCCTTTTTTTTTAAATGTCTGTATGAACAATGAAAAAATAGACTTCACTGAGGTCAGTGGAGTTACACTAGCATAAATCTTGGCTGAGATCCCCCTCTTGGATCTTTTAAACTCTGGTCTGCAGTGGCAACATATGATAAACAATATTTCTAACATCATCCCTTAGACAACATCCTCTTTGCATTTGGAGAACTGAACTTGCTTTATACAGGATATTGGTCTGATTGGCAGATCTAGAGTCTCATGTCAATATAGGCAGTTCTCGGACTTATGACACAATTGGTTCCTGAAAACCATGTCTTAAGTCGAAACGTGGTAACTTGGAACCGTTTTTCCCATAGGAAACAATGTTATAAATGGGGGATTGGTTCCTGAACCAAGGCCCGATACCCTATTTTCACCAAAAATAACCCAGGATTTTGTACTCCATCAATTATAGACAAGTAATATAGCTACACTAATGTATTTATATTGTAAATAGCAATCATATTGATTTGGAAGGGCTTCTTTGAGGTGACTTTGCTGGACTTTCTGAAGGGTCTTGGTTGGACTTTTTGAAGGGTTCTTGGCTGGAGTCTTCTCAGGAGTCTTGGCTTCATGTTTTTCTGGAGTCTTGTCTGCTTTATTAAAGAAAGTGTCCAAGGAAGTTTGGACAGATGTTCTCCAGGGAGATGGGCAATGCAGCAAACTTGTTTGTTGGCATGGCATGGTGTTGGATCAAGCATTGTAAAGTCAAAACTAATGTCAGAATGTTGAAACAGGGTGTCAATTTATAAATGTTGTAAGTGTGAAATGTTGTAACTCAACACGTAAGTCAAGGACTGCCTGTACCAGTATGTTGCAGTAATTGACAGTCCTTTTCAAATGTTCTAATTACCTTTTCAATTCCTAAATTGACTCATATTTGATGGAAGAATGTATTTGTATTTATTGTACAACACTTGCTTATTTTTTATGACTAGTTTCTGAGACTTGCCTATGTCTAGAGTCTGGTGTCTCATGAAGAACTGAAATTTGTGTTTCAATAACCTGTGTCAAATGTGAGAAATGTAAAGATGTTCCTATTATTTGTTTCATGTAGTTACCATGACTTTTGGTTAGTTTTCCAGATTCATAGTATAATAAAAATAACTTGTCTTTCTGTTCTGGAGGAAGCTTTCCCCCCAGATTGTAGGACAATTTCAAAGTTTCATCTTTTTTAAAAGAACCTAATCCCAACTATTGTACCAGCAACAGAGGAAGTCAAATTCTGCCCTTATATATGCTCAGCCTAATAGAAATCTATCTGGCCATGTAAAATACTACAGGTAGAATAATGTGAAGCAGCGTAGAACAGGTGAAACAAATCGGAAATAGTAGCGAGCAGATATTTCTTTTCTTGTTATATCTCCATCAAAGATGCTGTCTGACATTAGGAGAGTGACATTGTACAGCATTTGGCTCACATTAGGTGTTAAAGAAGGGATGGCAGGTTCAAGAATGCGTGTGGATTGAATATGTGGTTTTGCTAGGCCTGAAGTAATGCGGCGGTGATTAACAGATCACTCTGACAATGTCTTGTGATGTAGTGCTAAGGTTTGGAGAGACGCCGAGATATCAGAGCACAAAAAATAGCAGTAAACTAAAGCCTTCACTGCTTCACTTGTTCCATAGATAGGTCTGCTTTCTTGTTGCCTCCATTCACCTCAGGAGATGTATAATAGATACTTAATAAGAGCAGCAATATTTGAGCCACAGGAGTTCTCATTTAGAAGACTGATTTTCCAGCCCTTGCTCAAGTGAACTTTCCTTCCATCTCTTTCTGAGAAGTCCCACTGAAGTCAATAGAATTTCTTACATTAAGATGTGATGGAAATAAGTCTCAACGTACTACTGTTGCATCAAAAAGTATCATATAATGTCAGATGAACTTAATTGCAATCTCCCGTGCAAGCAGCTGAGGAGAATGTGCTATATAAGCAACATGTGATATAAGACTTAAAATGTAAAGGTGAGGTTTCTGTGCTTCCTCACCCTGCCTTGCATGGAACGTTTATAGTCAGTTGATTGTAGATTGCACTGGAGTAGGAAATGATGGAGAAAAATTCTTTCTTCCATGCTTTTACTACCTAAAAAGTTGAGCTATGCAACTGTTAAAATTCTGTTCTTTTCTTTGCAGGTATAATACCTTGCCTAGCAGAAGAACACTAAAAAATTCAAGATTAGTGAGTAAAAAAGACGATGTTCATGTCTGCATCATGTGTTTACGTGCCATTATGAATTACCAGGTGCTTGTCTTTCTATTATTTTTATCAGCTAATTAACTTACTAGATAACTAATTTACTGGGGAGGGAGGAGAAGGTAGGTATACATTTTAAGATATACAAGTTTTAAAAGCTGAATTCTCATTCAGTTAGGCAGCACATTCTGCATGTTATTGTCATTGTTTATCAACCATATAGAATGTATTTGATTTTCGACACAGTTCTTTTTAACAATACTGACAAACTAGGCCAAATTCTGTACTCAGTTACATGGTGTAGTTCCCATTAATGGGGCAAGATTCCTGTAACAGATCAGAATTTGACCCAATATGTAGACTTAAAATATGGGAAGTTTAATGGGGATTATATAGAAGAGGTAGAATCTTATGCAAATGGAAAATTGTGTGAAATGTTATATGAGCTTACAACAAAGCAATAACAAAATTGCAAAGGAAAAAGTAAGTTAGACTAACATTAATCTTCATTGCAGAATTTCCTCAGTATGATGTTGTGGTCATACAGCACATTCTAGTGGCTTCAGAGATTCAGGATTTTCATGAAAATAATGACCATTTACAATTATGTGCTTCCAAAACAGAGCTTCTCATGAGCATCCTCTTTGTTTTGCCATGTACAGCCTGTTTCCAGCACACATGGCTAAATTCTGTTTTTGATTATATTAATGTCAATGGGATTTACTGGAGTATTTGAAGTCAATGAAGTTATTCCAGATTTATATCCATCTAATAGAAATCCTCAGCTGGTATAAATTTGTCTAGTGTCATACGTCTCTAATAGGAAAGGTGTGGCTAAAGATCTGTTTGTCATCATGTAGAGGTGTGTGTACATTAGAATGCAGATTCTGTATATTTGAATGGAAATATCGCTGTGAAGGGAAAATGACACAGATGGAAAACAAAGTTCAAAATAAGAGGGGAAAATAGAAGGAAAAAGAAAGGGAAGAGGGAATGGCAGTGATACAACAGAAAGTTTGGGAGGATCTGTGTTTGTTAGCTGACTCACAGCCAAACCAAGAGTATTTTTCACACTGCTGGGGGAAGAATAGTTGGTATGTATCATATTAAATGTGCTGACTGATACTGTAAATTTGACCAAGTTTTGTTTGACATAGTATGCTAAGGAAGACTGCCAGATCTGGTCATAGATTTATAATTTACTGGAATTTTTAAAATCATAATTGAAGTTTGAAAACTGAAACAATTTCTCCTTCCCATTTCAGTATGGATTTAATATGGTCATGTCACATCCACACGCTGTTAATGAAATTGCCCTGAGTCTGAACAACAAGAATCCCAGGTAAGGTACACTTGCTCTGGGGGATTTGAGAAGTAAATACATACAGAATACACTGCATTTGTGATAGTTTTTGAAGACACTTTTACATGTGGGGATTTTTTTGCACCAGTAAAAACAAATGTAATTAACCCTTCAATATGTATGCACTAAAAAGGCATGTTGGAACTAGATGTGCTTATTATAGTAATCACTGATAAATTACTGCACTAAAATAATCTAGTAAAGCTGTAGCTGGTTTGTGCATAGTAGAGGTTAACAGTGTTGTGGGCTTTTAATTTAGGGTAGTTATACTACAGCTAGGGGTGAAATGCTGACACTGTTGAAGTCAACGGGCGATATGACATTGAAATCAGCAGTTCCAGAATTTCATCTGAGGCTTCTTGAACTGAAAGACTGTAGACTGTTAGAATTGTGTGGATTATTTGTAAGTGAGCATCATTACTACTTCTTAAATGGAAAGGTTCTTAGATGATAAACTCTTTGGGCATTTGTACACATGCATGCGCCGCAGCAGCAGACGCTTTGAAAAGCATCCGGCGCTGCAGGGCAAGCAGTTGTATAAGCAGTGAAATGCACGTCAGTACTGAGAAAATGATGGTGTACGGTTTTGAACTAAAACACATCAGAGGCGCTTCACTTCAAAAGTGCTCCACTGCCATTTTGTGCATGGTGATACACATTTTGCTACTTATACAACTGCATGCGGCGCAGTGCAGTTCACCTCAGCTCAGAAGCAGCAGATCTCTGATGCATTATGGGATGGAAATGTATGTATATAAATGCCCCTTAAGACAGTAGCTGTCCTTTATTCCATGTTTGTAACATGCTTGACACAATAGGCATTCATTCTTAGTTGGGCCCTAAGCACTATAACCCACTCATCTTTATCATTGCATCCATTGCTTCTTTCCAAATATGCTCTTCCTATACCCAGTTACCATGAGTTGGATCCTCAGAAATTCCAGATTCTGCAGATTATTTGCCTGTCTATTGAAACCAAACTTGAAACATTATTTTAGTTTATAAAAGGTAAAACTGAATGAAATGTGACAGTACCTTGACCAAAGCAGTGGGATTTTGTTGATGTTATGCTCCCTTTTTAGAATAAAAGGCTTTGAAATGTTTTTCTCATAGAAGCTGTGGCTCCCCTTCTCTTCTTTTAGTTAAATTTAGGGTATGAAATGCATATACTATGCAAGTGAGGCTCCATTGTGTTGAAGAAAAATCCAACCAATGATTTCTGTGAATGATATACTTTAATTTGACAAACCAATTTCTTTTAAAATGTCTACAAAAGTATTGTCTCCTGGAATAGAAATTATGGGAGACTGATATTAACATTTATATCATCAGATCTATATAATGGATATCAGAGTTTCCTTGAAATTTCAGAACCATGATTTGCAATTTGTTATTGGTAAACATTTAAATAAGAAAAAACTTCAAAGATGGAGACTTGAAGTACATGATCCTAAGAGGTTCATTTCTTTGATCTGAATATACTCGACATCTTTCTGCCTGCAGGATCAGGTTATTGAAGTAGTTAAAAATTAAAAATATCTGAGCATAAATAAATGCATCCCACCTGTCAGTATCATCCCACCCATCTTGCAAATGAGGGAGAAGCTGATTCATCACATTTTGGTAATTGATTATTGTGTTTCCTTTCCTAACAGAACAAAAGCCCTCGTCTTAGAACTGTTAGCAGCTGTTTGTCTTGTCAGAGGAGGCCATGAAATCATTTTATCTGCCTTTGATAACTTTAAGGAGGTAGGTTGTTCTGTTTCATCAGAATCCATGGTGCGTGCCCATAGCTCTTTTAGAGCACCCATCTCAGTTTCTGATTAAGAGGCTTTATGGTTTACCTTCATTTTCCCTAGTATGGAGAGCCTTTATTTTTTTCCATAAACAGAGATACAGTAAAATTAACAGAGGCACGATTTTGGAATTAATCTCTGCCATTCTCCCTATGTTTGCAACCTTAACTTTGTAAGAACAAACAAACCCTAATTGCCAGCATAGTTTTTATAAACAGAGCTATGCAGGAAT